ACTTTATCCTCTTCCTCGTCTTCATTTTCTTTCCCCGTATCAGCTATTCTGGATTAATCCAGTACTTTTAGTTTGTGCGACAAGCACTTCGTTTCCGCGCAATGCATCTCATGAATCTCTCAGTAGCAGTTCGAATACGACGATGAAAAAGTGATTTGTTTCTCACAATGGGCGGGCGTAAATTTCAGTTGAAGCTGACAGAGCCATAAGTGAAATTGATCCTGATCTTCGCCTCCCGGAAGCGACTGGATCCAGACTCGCCCTCGAACTGGCCAGCTTCATATCTCGATCAGTCGTCAAACTATGCATGATCGTGCACATTCTTCACCTGCTCCGGAAATTGTGTCACACCGCACCATGCACCCATATTATGAGGAGCTGAAACCACAGCGAACTTGCCGTTTTTTCTTCGCGGCAAACCAGGAAATGGCGCCCCTCGCTTCCATGTTTGTATCCTTCGCGACCATTGCTTTCGTGCGCGTCGACCCAGCAACACCAGGATGGTGTGTAGAAGCCTCGTGCTTGTTACTGGCATCGGCCCAGCCAGTAACCGGAACAAACAACCATCAATTAACCTTGCAGCGGCACAAAATGTTGCTTCCCGAAAATTCCTTTCCTTTTATGAACCACAAAATTTGCATCCGAGAAAATTTGCCCAAGATCTGCACAGTACACTGTTCTGTATCTGTCAAAGCAAGCAAGTTTCGGTGTCTCTTGAATATTCAAGCCTGCTTAATTATCCTCCATCAGCAAGAGCCATATCGCAGCGTCAACAAATGCTTTTTCGCAGTCTACTGACGCATGAGGCACGAAACAAAAACTAATGCTAGCTTTCCTTTACATTTTCCTTGTGGCCCTTCTTGTGCAGCAAAACAATTGCAGCGCTGAATAGTTTTATTAAAAGCAGAAAGAAAGAACGAATTTATCAGATCAAACGCGAATGTAACAGTCACTTCTCAACGCCATTTCTCAGGCGTCACTTCTCAGGCGCAAACAGCCAGATTACGAACAATCAAAGCTGTAATCTCTTTTATTTCAGCTTTTTTCCAGTTACATAAATCGCACTAGTGAAACTTGCTTCCGAAAACCACTGCTGACTTTTCAAACAGTTCGCAAATGCGGGAAAACTGATACTATTTATGTGCATATGCGGCACACCGGTGTAGACCTGCGTTCCATCCAATCCATCCAACCGATAGAGCCATAAGTGAATTAATCCTGATCTTCGCATCCTTTTTCAGATCATCAAATTCTTCGGCGTATGCTGGCATTTTGCCCACTTTGATAGTGTATGCCGGTACATTTTTTTTGCACTGGTATGCACAGGCGTTTTGTTTCGAAGCACTAATGCAAGCTGTGATTTTATCCTCCTTCTCGTATTCGTTTTCTTTCCCGTATCAGCTATGCTGGATTAATCCAATACTCTTAGTTTGTACGGAGAGCACTTCGTTTCTGCGCAGTGCCTCTTGGATCTCTCAGTAACAATTCGAATACGACGATGAAAACCGGAAGGGAAAAATTTAGAACCAAAACTTGCTGTTATTCTTTTTACTGAATTTTTTTCGTTTGCTTCCCACAATAGGCTGACAGAGCCATAAGTGAAATTGATCCTGATCTTCGCCTCCCGGAAGCGACCGGATCCAGACTC